AGAAATGGTCAGATATAAAGTTAGAAATGAAATTATTAGACAAACTGTAGGTTAATACACACGTGGTCAGAAATAAAGTTTGAAATGATATTATCACACTGACTGTAGGAACAACACCATACACCCAAAAAAAAAAAAAAAAATTCCAAACACGGTTAACAAGAACTCTGTTACGCTATCCTATTAATTCTATTTTTAAGGTATATGAAAAATTGCTTATAAAACCAAATACGCCCTTGGCCTTTCGTTTTATAAATCACTTTTTTTAAAATATGTTATTCGAGTAAAAAAAAATTTTACTTCGTAAAACAAATTATTACAAGCAGGAATGAAATTTTACAATAATTTGATGTTGAAATATATAAAGTGCAGGACTGTCCATAGCAAATCCCAAACAACAGTAGAATCGTGTACAAGTGACAGTCGATATTTTGGGCAGTAAGATGTTAGCCCTATACGAGTACAACTGATAGTCGAAATGTTAGGCAGAAAGATCTTAGCCCTATACGTATACAACTGATAGTTGATATTTTGGACAGTAAGATCTTAGCCCTATACGAGTACAACTGATAGTCGATATTTTGAACAGTAAGATCTCAGCCCTATACGAGTACAACTGACAGTCAATATTTTGGACAGTAAGATCTTAGCCCTATACGAGTACAACTGATAGTCGATATTTTAGGATATAAGATCTTAGCCCTATACGAGTACAACTGATAGTCGATATGTTAGGCAGAAAGATCTTAGCCCTATACGAGTACAGCTGATAGTCGATATGTTAGGCAGTAAGATCTTAGCCCTATACGAGTACAACTGATAGTCGATATGTTAGGATAAAAGATCTTAGCCCTATACAAGTACAACTCATAGTCGATATGTTAGGTAGTAAGATCTTAGCCCTATACGAGTACAAGTGATAGTCGATATGTTAGGCAGTAAGATCTTAGCCCTATACGAGTACAACTGAAAGTCGATATGTTAGGCAGTAAGATCTTAGCCCTATACGAGTACAACTGAGAGTCGATATGTTAGGCAGAAAGATCTTAGCCCTATACGAGTACAACTGATAGTCGATATGTTAGGCAGAAAGATCTTAGCCCTATACGAGTACAACTGATAGTCGATATGTTAGGCAGTTAGATCTTAGCCCTATACGAGTACAACTGATAGTCGATATGTTAGGCAGAAAGATCTTAGCCCTATATGAGTACAACTAATAGTCGATATGTTAGGCAGTAAGATCTTAGCCCTATACGAGTACAACTGACAGTCGATATGTTAGGCAGTAAGATTTTAGCCCTATACGAGTACAACTGACAGTCGATATTTTGGACAGTAAGATCTTAGCCCTATACGAGTACAACTGATAGTCGATACGTTAGGCAGAAAAATCTTAGCCCTATACGAGTACAACTGACAGTCGATATTTTGGGCAGTAAGATCTTAGCCCTATACGAGTACAACTAATAGTCAATATGTTAGGCAGTAAGATCTTAGCCCTATACGAGTACAACTGATAGTCGATATGTTAGGCAGAAAGATCTTAGCCCTTTACGAGTACAACTAATAGTCGATATGTTAGGCAGAAAGATCTTAGCCCTATACGAGTACAACTGACAGTCGATATGTAAGGCAGAAAGATCTTAGCCCTATACGAGTACAACTGATAGTCAATATGTTAGGCAGTAAGATCTTAGCCCTATACAAGTACAACTGACAGTCGATATGTTAGGCAGTAAGATCTTAGCCCTATACGAGTACAACTGACAGTATGCCGTAAACAACTTTGGTATTGTAGATAACAGGCAATAGACCTTAGACAATACCAGGTTGTAGAAAATAGGCAATAAACTGTAGATAATTGTGGTGTCGTAAATAACAGGCAAAAGATTGTAGATAACTATGGTGTCGTAGATAAGAGGCAATAGACATATCAGACTGCAGATATAAAAGTGGTGACGTAGACAATTTGCAAAAGATTGAAGATAGCAGTAGGTTGTAGATAATAACATATTGTAGACAAAAGTGGTTTTGTAGATAACAGGCAAAGGATTGTAGATGACAGCGGTGTCGTAGATAATAGGCAATATAGATCGTAGACAATAGTCGGCCATAGCAACTGACAGCAGACTAATTAACAGAGTGAGGTGTAGATGACAGTAGAGTAAGTGGGTCACAGACGCTCGGCAGCAGTGTCTAAGTAATAGAGTTGGTCTTAGACAACGTCCAGTAGACCAAATAACAGAGTGGGTCATTATTAAGCGACAGCAGCCGAAATAACGGATTGGACCTTTCACAACTGACAGCAGATCATGTACAGCTCTAAAGAGTAGACACATTTACAATATAGAGTAGATTACTAAGGAAGAAGAAATTGAAGTTCCGGTAACAGTGAGCATAGGATTAAAACACAAACAAGATCGTTGATACGTTACAACACAGACGCAGACAACAGACGAAAAGGCAAATGGCACAAGAATCACAGACAACCAACACAAAGGTCACAGACAACTGACACCAAATCCTTACTGAAAAAAAAAAAACAACAACAGACAGTCTTGAGGAAGCATTGACGTCTCAGAAATAGCCGAGAGGATTAGTGGCATGGTTCCAAGAAGCTTAGTGTCATAATGTTATTTCTTTCGAGCCGCAAGCGAGAGGAATCGAGCCACACAATTCAGACTGTCCTATTACACTTTCAGGTAGGATACAGTAGCACTAAGGTGGTATGTTTGACATAACACAGAAACTGGATACACTTTAAATATGTTTCTGACCCTTCCACTCAGCTGAGTGCTTGTTGCGACACCATGAGCTGTTAAACTGATGTGGAATGTATTTTGTCTGTTGTGTCTGCGGTGTGGTGTTAACAGCAATATAATGGCAAGTAACAGAAAGTATTGTGAACGGCACTCATAGAAAGAAGTGTTCTTCTATCTTTCTACTTCTTTCTATGAGTGCCGTTCACAATACTTTCTGTTACTTGATTAATTCATAATATTTAACGGCTTCAAATGGTTCCCCTCTCTGTTTAAATATAATGGCAAGTGGCTTATTACATTCACATTCACGTTTGCGAGTGCAATGCCGGCTTTCGTGATTGACCATCTGTGCCAACGGTGTTCTGCAATTCTAGCGGGAGCCGTTAGTGTTGGCACACCTGACAGCAGCTTTGTGTGTATTTACTTTGCACGTGAAAGCTTCAAGATTTCGCAAGGACTGACAAGTTCTACACTAGTTTTCAAACAGGACAGTGACAGACATTTTGTGTGGTTTCCACTGGCATGGAAACGGAGCAGTTATGGCCGAACCATCTGCAGCGATAATGGGACCTCGATTTGCTAGCTAACAAACTTTAGACTGGATAACATTTATGGTTTTATAGAACGTATAGTTGTGTTATCTTCTGCAGAATCGGTTAACACAAATAACATTTTAGATTATATAGTTTATACCAACCTATATAAATGGAAAAGTAGAACTCAGTTTCATGATGATTGTTTTTTTCTAGACACATACGATGACATACTATGTGTTTGTGTGAGTGCGCGTGAGATGTATGTCAGGCACAAATCAGAGAGTATTCAGGCACCCGTAGGCACTGATCGTTGGGTATCGATGATGGGTCTAAACAACGAGCCACAATTGTTTTCCCTAAAGAGGTAACACTTGTAAAGTAAAGTAAAGGACCCTTTTTCCAGGCCTTTAGGCGAATAGGGCATATAGGGCATATAGGGCTAGACCTATATTTTTATAGACCAATCGGCACAAGATAGTTGATGTGGTCAGCATTACGCCGGGTAACACTACTGTGTATATATATATATATATATCTCTTTTAAGGGGCGGCTAACATTAACATATTTCTGCTGCTGCTGCTGCTTCTTCTTCTGCTACCGCTGCTGCAGCAGCGGCGGCGTCGTCGTCTTCTTCGTTGTCTTAGTCGTCTTCGTCGGTCTTTGTTGTGTTATATTCAATTATCATTATCATTACCTATCACTCTACAATTATGTTATCTTCAATTAACATTCTACAGTTATGTTATCTTTAATTATCATTCTACAGTTGTGTTTTTTCAATCATAACTCTACAATTATATTAACTTTAATCATCCTTTCCTTTATTTCGATCTATTGTCATAGATGCAAGTCTAGCACAGGCTGATCAAAACAATAAAGGCAAAGATGGAACTGATGATCTGACAGATAAGGCGGATGCGCAAAAGGATAACAACACCGATGACAATGAAGATGAATTCGACGACGAAAAGTCTGTAAGAATTAGACGGGAGAAGAAAGTGAAAAAGTCCAGAGTTGAATTGTCCACAACATCAGATGTGAGTGACAAAATACCTACGTCTGTTTTTTTCCTTTACATCCGTCTGTTTCTTTCTTTATTCCTCCTTACGGCCTCTTCATCTTCTTTATCTTCTTCTTTATCTTCCTCATCATCTTCTTCGTCTTCCTCATAATCTTCCTCCTCCTCTTCATCATCATCTTCGTCATCTTCTTCATCATCTTCATCTTCATCCTTTCATCTTCATCATAATCTTCTTCTTCTTCTTCTTCTTCTTCTTCATTTTGATCAACATCATCTTCATCATGGTCTTCTTCTTCACCTTCTTCTTCATCATCATCATCATCAGCTTCATCATCGTCATCGACGACGACGACGACGACCACGAAGAAGAAGAAAACGAAGAAGAAGAAAAAGGAGAAGAAAAGGGAGAAGAAGAAAAAAAAGAGAAAAAAAGAGAAGAAGAAAATGAAGAAGAAGAAGAAGTTTGCCAATGGTACTGAAAGTCGACTCTTCATACGTAAAGCTGTCTGCTGCCCAATCACCTATACTGAACAGAACCGTGTATATCATATTATGAAGCATGTTCGCAACGCCCAAGGCACAGACGCCGACACGTTATGTATATCTATACTAATCATTTGCATTTACTATACTAGAGTTATTTACTGGTTTGTTTTAATCATATGTTCAACTCTCAGAGTCCACCACAACTGCCATCACCACCACCAACCTCCCATAAAGTGGTCACTCCTCCAGTTTCACCTCCTCCTGGAAGCTTATCCCCTCTACCAGAGGACCCTCCTCTCCCAGAGATAGAGATACCAGCGGTGCCCAAGCTGCCAGACATTGTGGAGAAAACAGTAGGTGACAGCTTCTAACACACATCATCATCATCATCATTCGTGTGCCGTTAGACGTCACATATGCCCCGCATTTGATTACTCCACTCTGTTCTATTGCAGGTAACTCTCGATTTCTGACATGTGTAGTTCAGTCAACGTTTTTTACCTTCTGGTAATACTGTCCTTCTTATGGTTTCCCTTAGACGTCCTCTTTTTCACTGACCGTTTCATTCACATGTTATTGCTTTTTGTAATTCCTTGCTCATGTTGTCTCAGAAAATGCCAAATATATCTCCACCTTCTGTGTCTTATTGCAGTCAACACGGGTATTTGTTCAGAGTTCTACCACAAACCCACACATAAAGATCTGTTAAGAAGATGGTTTTCCACATTTTCTGTCTTTCTAGACGATAATGTTACATTGTTACATTGTGCAATGGGGAAGGTGACGGCAATATCTTGAACTGAAAACGGAACATCTCAAACAAGTCATTGTTCATTGTTCATTGTTCATTTAACGACATTCTTCATCGCACATCAGACTTGACCATAAGTGCTCCGATCTCATCCTGAGTATGTCTACAAGTGTTTTTAGGCTAACAATTCCAATTTTCTTCTGGCTGATGTAACGACGTGTAGTTCCCACAATGTCTTCCTGTCTGGCTGCTCCAGTTGGTAAACCCATGGTTGCACTTTCAAACAAGTCAATTTAACCACATTCCCACTTTTCTCTTCTAGGTCAACAGACTGAAAGAGTTATTTTTTTCGCTCATCAGTGGCATTAATACCCTAAGCGTTATCGCTAATAAATAAACGAAACAATTTGCTTTTTAACTTCACCGAAAACGGGAAACGTGCTACAATAAAACTTCCCATCAACACATCGAAAGCTTTAAAAGTATCTTTTATAGCGTAACTTCTGTTCCCGAGTTTAATAATCCTGGATTATTTTTTGTTTATTGCGACACTTGACGTTTTTCTAGAGCATGGGTTGTCAAACTTTTTTCGCTGCGGCACCCTTGTGAGGCTAAAAAAAAAATTCTTGGCACACCTACCATTAGAGAAGTTGAATACTTAGGGAAATATGAAAAAAAAGTGCAAATTTAATGTTTTCTTGTCTTCAATGAGATGAATGAAACTGTTCGGATGCATTTTGCATTATATCCTTTTCATGTCTGAAAAATTATCTCTATCATGGTAAACCCTGCGTAAAGAGACAACCCGCGGCGTTTAAAGATTTGTGTATCCTTTATTTACTAAATCAGAGTGATAGCATTCCAGATGTCTCTGTAATTTAGACGGAACCAAGCAGCTGTTAGCGACACTTTTAAGGCAGTTCAAGCATTGCCCTTCTGGTGCCTGTTCGTTCCCAACCGAAACAAAACAAAACAATGTGAGGTAACTAGGATAATGTTTTCTTAGTTTTCATCAGATTTTCTTTTAATCCTTACTTGCCTTTCCGCGAACTGAGGCAGACCAACTTGGATGGGTTAGGCTGGTAGGTGTCTGCTGAGACAATGTAACCGTAACTTTACTTATGGACTGCACTTTAACGAATTCAGGTTGAGGATCGGTCGCACCTCTAGATAAATTCACAGACAATTCTTAGCGTAACGGTTGGCATTTTGTGTAGTATGAAACATGGCTGAATGTGAAACACACAATAAATACTTATCGACAGCGGCGAGGAAAGACAACTTAAATTTTAACTCTTAAGTATTTGTATGCCTTCTTTAATAATTTCACAATGTTAAGAATACTTTTCTTGATTACTGCAGTTGCATTCCTGATAGTACCGGCTACACGAGCGGTTCTCAGACTGGCTGCGGCGGCACACCGGGGGTGACGCGAGCGTATGCTAATTGGTACCACGGCAATAATCAAGAATTTTTAAACATCTTGAGATCAGTGAAGACATCAGTTTAAAACAGAAATACAATGAAGGAAGCCAAGAAGAGTTCTGGATGCTACTGGCAAGGCTGCAGGTCTTCTGAACTTACGCTTACAAGAAAGAAAAAAAAAGATGCGAGAACAAACTTTTTTTGGGTCAAGTGATCTGAGGGTAAAATTAAATAAACTTCCCATATGCATATAGAAAAAATGATAAATTCATCCAAACAGTTTCATTCATCGCATTAAAGACAACTGAGCATTAAATGCGCACTGTTTTTTTCTTCTTTTCCTAAGTACTCAAACCGCTTTAATGGTAGGTGTGCCGTGAAATTTTTCTTTGCCTGACAGGGGTGCCGCGGCAAAAAAAGTTTGAGAACCACTGGACTAGACGACTGGGACAAACACACAAACCAGGTCTGTCTATGTGAACACGGGGCGTTTGGTCACCCTACCTATAGAAAGGCATCGCAATCACAGCCAATGGCGATAGCCAGTATTACTGACCAGAAGAAGACCATTTCCACAATAAGCGGATGGGATTCTGGCATATATATTTGTGTGTGTGTGTATGTGTGTATGTGTGTGTGTGTGTGTGTGTGTCTGTTATAACCAGTATGCTATTGTCCTAACGTCAAATGAATGCAAGCTTCCTCACTCTAGTATGGCGCTACTGTGACCGATTCTAATCTTCACTATTTTTACCAGATTGAACAAGGAAAGAAAAGAGAGAAACTCAAGTTCATGGTGGACACCCCACCGCCGCTGCAGCAGGTCAAAGAAGAACCTAAGAAGAGAAGAGCCACGCCCAAAATAAGGACAATGTAAGTCTGACCTGACTTATTGGTTGAAATTTAAAGAAAAGTACTTGGAGATTTTTAAACGCCAGATGTCAGTAGTATCCGTGTATTTTCTGTACAGGATAGTTAGGGGTTCGGGGTAACGAACAAGCTGATAGATTGGATGCTGCCGCTATTATGGGTAGTGAGCTACGTTATATAAGCGGAAGTGATGAAAACTCTCTGAGATCAAGTGTACAGTGCAACAGAACAGATCAAGGATCCATACATTGACAGATTAATCCAGCGAGGGGAGAGCAGCGAGTCTGGGAGGTATTCAACACTGACGGAAAACCGTAGGCGGTCTTTTAATCTGGTTGCAGCAGGTACTATAACATAAAGACTCTTCGTTGGCTACCGAAGAAGGAGACGGAGCACGTGTGAGAATGTCCAAAGCGCCAGGATGTCTATTCTTAATTCAATAATTCATTCACTCATTAAATGCCACATAATCGCCGTTATTGCAGAATGCTTTCACCTAAATGACATCGTATCTCCCCTCCTTATATGCAAGGATGCCAAGCCCATTCATGAAAATATTAATAACATCAACGAACTACTCTTTGCTGACGACCAGGATTTGATAGCAGATAGAGCCACGAAATTGTAGCAATATCTTACATCGGATGAAAGAAAAATTTAAAATTAATAGAACGAGAATCGGAACTGATTTGACAGACGAAATGTGAATAAGAAGACAGAAGCTATTATTAAATATAGCAGTAAAGTGCAACAACAATAATCAAACCATCAGAGTTTAAATAGCTGGCAACAACATTAATTAAAGATGGCGGACTGGATCAAGACATTAACAACAGATGCAGTAAAACAACAAACTAGCAAAGCTACCCCCCCCCCTTTTTTTTTCCATACACACACACACGCGCGTTTAAGTGCACATACCCACACACGCATACACTAACAATTTTCAGCGTACGACAAACCTTTGTGACGCCCATACCATTAAAAAAAAACATACACTAAAAAAAGAGGGGAAGGGGTGGGGGGGGGGGGGAAGAACGCAGAGAAAGGGGTTGAACAAGAACAAGACAGAAATATAACATGCGACAAACATTGCAACAGCACCAAGTGTCGATGATCTAGGCGGCCAGTAGAGCAAGAAGCAGATTCCTATATCTTCCTCGACATCCGAAGCGTTCAAAGATGAAGGAAAGAAAGAAACAGAAGAAGAAGAAGAAGAAGAAGAAGAAGAAGAAAAAGAAAAAGAAGAAGAAGAAGAAGAAGAAGAAGAAGAAGACGAAGACGAAGACGAAAGAAGAAGAAGAAGAAGAAGAAGAAGAAGAAGAAGAAGAAGAAGAAGAAGAAGAAGAAGTTGATGAAGAAGAAGAAAAAATTATGATGGCATTAGGCAACAAACTATATCGTTTTTAGCAATAATAACAACAATAATAAAGGTTTCACTTTGTCAGTGAGTGTAGACACATTTACCATGTGACCACTTTAATTTATCTACAGACCCAGAAAGATGTTCAGACAACGAAAAACCCGCCCAGCCGAAGCTCCAGTTACAACCGAGGAGTTAAAGGACATCCATGACCCATTGGATTTTCTGGCTAGATGGTGCATCATCAAGTATGCCTTCTTTTGCCTCTTTTTTCAATTCTCGCCGCGTGAGTTCTGTAAATTAGAAGCAGAAAGCTGTACCTGGGATGAGACGGATGAAATGCAGATGGATAGAAGTGTCAAGGATGAGGTTTGAGGTTTGAACAGGGGATTAACATCATGGCACACGGGTAGTAATCCATAAGTGCTCCGTTCTTCTTTTACCTCAAGTCTAAGTCTTAAGAAGCTGAGCACAGTCCAAAGGCTCTGTAGCAGTGGTGGGGATCGGGAAATGCTTTGGATATTTTTGCCCAGGCAGTGCCGTTAGGTTGCTTTTTTTTCATTTCGAACTACCAAACAATTCTTTAACAATGCACACGGGTGTCCGATCTCACTACCCAGAGACCAGGGGGAATTACTAGAAGTCCAAGTCCACGTGAAAAAATCCCGGCCCTTACCAGGGATTAAACCCGTAGCCTCTACACTCGAGGCGAACACCATACCTCGAGACCACACAATCTCATATCGAGGATGACCAAAGATGTGTGCAAGGGGGACATAAGTGATACAGGTATTCGGGTGCATTCGTGGGAACAAAAAGACATTGGCCGTGTTGCGCTTCTTCTTCTTCTTCTTCACTTCCTCTTTTACCGCTGTGGGTGTCGAGGGAGATATAAGGTTCTGTTTCTAGCTCTTCTGGCCGCCCCGACCATAGGAACATCGTGCTGTTGTAGAGTTTCTCTGATGTTATCCTTCTATCTTGTTCTTGGTCTACCTCGTGCTCTACGTCCTTCTTCTCTTTCTATGTATGCTTTGTATGGTATGGTGTCACAAGGCATTCTCTCTAAGTGGGCAAACTATTTCACTGGCTGTCTTCGTATGTCATTTAGAATTGGTTCTGTGCCGACTTTTTTTATGATCTCATTCCTGATCTTATCTCTTATGGTCACTCCTACAGCCCTTCTCAGACATCTCATTTCTATGGTTACTAATTTTCTTTTATGGTTTGTTGTGAGTGACCATGTCTGGCACTGGTAGCACAGAGTTGGAATAAATATGCTTTGAACAAGATGTCTCTTTGTGCTGATTGGGATTGTTTTATGCTGTACGAGGGAGCCTACCTGACGGGGCAAATCAGGAAAGTGATAGAAATGAAGGAAGAAATGACTGCAGAAAGGATGAGAGCTGAGCGTTTGAGCAGGTACACACTGAATACTAATGACAGCAACAGAGGTCCTGAAATCCCATGCTATAATTGTGGAAGATTTTTCTTAACAAGCGCGGGTCTTGCTAATCATACTCGCCATCACCACTGGCTGCGAGTACCATGCCTTCTCACAGCACAGTATAACGCTATTTGTCTGGAAATTGGCATCGGAATTGGAACTCTTCGCGTGCTGCTGAAGATGGGGACGGAGCGCATATGGAAGTGTCCCAAGTGCTGTGATGTCGATTCTTAATTCGAAATTCAACATTTGTCTGGCAAGACGGTAAGGTGTATACAGCGACAACAACTACGATCAGACTGAACAGACGTGAGAAGTTGGTTACAACTGACAAGGTCAGATTCAATTTTATACGGCTGAAAGTCGTTTCCTGAATATATCCTGTTGAAAGAAATGGGCTGAGTGGGAAAGAAGTGCAAATAAGTACATACATATTTTGATAAAAATCGACTACGTTAGCCTGACATATAATGATAAGCCAGGTCAAATCGAAACTTCGAGTTGTATGAGAAGAGTGAGGCCAAAAGGGCAGAATGTGAGACAAGCTTGCGTGCCCAATTCTTAACTATTTGAAAATAAAATTCGTTCGCTCGTTCAATATATCGCTGGCATATTTCTCTCTCTCTCTCTCTCTCTCTCTATATATATATATATATATATATATATATATATATATATATATATATATATATATATATATATATATATATATATATATATATATATATCTCATCTTCACACTCAGGGTGCATATCCCTGACCAATGTTTTGTTCCCTAAATTCCCATCCAGCCCTGACAGACTGCCGTTCTACGAACTTGTCTTCGAGTACACAGTTGCCGATCAGACACCCCTGTACCCCAGACAAACACAACTGGAGCCACCAGAGACACAGTACGAGAGAAAGGAGCAGTTGGAAGGGGCGGATAATGGAGAGATTCCTGGCAAGAAGGAGAAAAGTAAGGCATGAAGAAATAATTTAACTGCATACATACAATCAGTCTTATACACACACACACAGTCTTACACACACAGAGAGAGAGAGAGAGAGAGAGAGAGAGAGAGAGAGAGAGAGAGAGTCTCACACTCACACACACTGACACTCTTACACACACTCGCACTCTAATACACACAAACACATAAACACACTAACGCTCCTATGTACGCACACACACTTACATACATGCAATCACACTCTTGCACACACATACACGCACTCTTGCACACATAGAGAATAAGAAATATAAATGAGTAATAAGGAAAGTGCGCAAGAATTTTTTTTTTAAGTAAAAAATAGGAGGACTTTAACAATATGACTAATTCAATATTAAACGAACAGATTCTCTTCAAAACTAAATAAAATCCACGAAGAAGCATCAGCAGGAAAAAAAGAAAAAAAAAAAAAAAGACAGAGAATGACAAAAGAAGAAGTATGAAAAGAAAGGGGGAAAAAAGAAGACGATGGGAGTAGGGGGGTTAGGGGAGGGGGAAATAAGAAGTTGCCACGCACACGAAGGAAGATAAAACATAGCTCAAGCATGACAAGATGAACTGTAAAACATTATCGTGATATGGATCCGAAATATGGAGAACAAGTACAACAGTTAGTATATAAATGGAGGGGTATATGCCTGGGAAGAGAGGAAGAGGAAGAGGAAGGCCAAAGAGAAGATGGGTGCAGGATGTGGTGGATGATCTCCATTTGGGTGTATCGGACGCGGGATATCTTGTTCGTGATCGAGAAGACTGAGTGACTTTTTACCTCACCAGGACATCACCCAGAGCGACAAACACCCGGTGCCACCATGCGGATGAGGTCCCGCAAACTCCATTCAGCCGTTATGCCATATTTAAGGCCTGGTTATAATTATGGTCCCCGGCAAAAGCAATGGTGGGGCTTCAAAATAACCAAAAATTGCATCCCACATGGGGGCGACTTGATTCATCGTGATCGAAAAGTTTTCCGGAGGGTTGTTATGGGTGCAAGGTTCTGCAAAGGACAGGCTACTGACTGACTGACTGAACCACTTACTAAAACAGTATAATCATAATTTAACAAATTTTTAAGCTAAAGTGAGATGATACAATCAAATTAATAATGCTAACTTACACAATGTAAACAAATCAAGAAATATTCGTATTAATATTAATACCGACACTGTGCTGTCAGTGCCATTCTTAGACATTATCAAAAGCTAAACTAAGTAAATTAAAACATGTGAAATTAGATGTCTGAGAAAGGCCGCCAACTCAACCATCCGAGACTCGTTCATCTTTATGGCATTTTGGTGCTTGTGAGTCTGTGGATTACCTCTCTCCCCGGACAGCAGCCAGTAGTGCTGTGTCAGTTTCTAGGGAAATATGGATTGTGGTTCTGCCTTTCCCTTTAATACGTAGCTAAGGTGGGGTTCACAGTGTGCTCATTCCCCGCCACCAGATTGCCTGCTGGTTTCGCTGAGCTCTTCTTGGCTCTAAGCATGGCCTAAGCATGAGTAGTTGGGGCAACTGGATCGTCACGTCCTGAGTCCCTGTACCTTCACGATAGTTTCCGGTATTGAGGGGGTTAGCATACTTGTTTCCACTCATAAGATTGTTCAGCACCCCTCCGGTTCCTTCCCTCCCACAGGGGGCAGTACGGTGTGGTGCACCGGGTTTTTTTTTATCGAGGTTTGCTACTCTAGATCCATCGTGTTTTGCCTGGGGATTTGCAACCCAAGTTACCAGATCTACATCGGGAAGGGTGTGGCTCTTCGCCACGCACTATGGTCTTGGGGTAAGAGAGGTTATGCTAGGTCAAGAGGCTGACACCACAATGGATGCTCCTTTCGTGAATAGATATTCACGAGACCTAGGGGGAAGTAAGGGGAAAAACCACTAACCACAACACCAACTCTTCTTACCCCCCCCCCCCCCCCCCCTGAGAAACAGAAGATCAAATGGTTTGGTGATTTACTGAGAATGCGACCAAAACAACTACCAACGGAGGCGCATCACATAAAAAAATCTGAAGTGAAACCTAGAGGCCGCCCTCTAGACGAACATGGATTGATGACATTAAAGAGCTTCTACTTCGACATGGAATGAAACAGCCATTGCTGCCCATCAAGCAGTGGATCGCAAACTGTTCCTCCCCACAACGCTTAATTGCAGAAGTGGAAACTGATGATGATGATAATGAAATTACGATGATCATCATCATTTAGCCAGTCTTTTCAAGAACAGAATAATTTTCAAAGCTCGCAGGAAACGGCTTGAGGTTCTGCTACGGACCCTGCCTTACGTATATACATGCTTGCCACGTCGGTAATATTTCGTGAAATAAATACAATCTCCTTTTTATTCTTGTCAGAGAAGCACAAGAAAGGACAGGCTAATGAAGACATCACTAACGACCGACTACTCAACACAAGACTGCTACCCGCAGAAAGGGGCATGAATTTTATGAAAACTGTAAGAATCATTTTTATAGACTGTTAGCTAGTTAGTTGTTAGTCGGTCGGTCGGTAGGTCGGTTGGTCCATCGGCTGGTTGGTTGGCTGGTTGATTGGTTGGTTGGTTAATTAATTAGGTAACTGACCTATTATCTTCATCGTACATCGGACATGTCAATGAGCCATCGGATTCCATCTTCAGTATCTTCCTAAGCCTGTGGAGACATACAGCAGTTAGTTCTGGTTTGTTTTACTCCTCTTCTGTGGCTACCAGAATGGTGATATGTCTGGAAACATGTCTTTTGACATGAAGTTCTTAGTTGCCGATTCACCATCGTCTCCTGAAACACCTACTCGTCTTGCTTCCTTAAATGCATTGATAACATCGGTCCGGTTTACTGCTTTACTTGTGCCTTCCGCGGTCCTGCCATCAGACTAATCCTCTAGTTAATTCCAGAGTGTCCTGGCACAAAAATGAAACTAACCCCTGTCAAACAATATTTCCCTAAAGACTCCAGCCACTTCTTCGACCGTCTCCTGTTTCGATCTTCTCAAAGCTTATTCATAAAATCAGAAAGCATGCTCAAGACAAAAATCTGAATATCTAGCAAGGTCATTGCTTGTACTACCGCCACAACTTCCATAGTCAGACTACATGCAGTCACGGTTATCTTCCTTTGCAGTTCTCCATCCAAACAGAAATGTAAAAGCACATGAGCTTTGCTAATGACGAACTACGCATCCATAGGTGGAAATAACTTTTCACATCACCAAAAGAATAATCAAGGATTAAACTTCCGCACCCACCTCCAACCAGTTTTGTTGTCTACAGTCGCTGTCTAGCTTAATGCAGACTAAAACAGGTCATACACCCTTCAGCTAGCACTCATACCCATTCCACACCAGGTTTTTTGTCCTTAATTGAACAAACTTGCTGAATAAATTTTTTCGACCCGACCTATCTTAGATTTCTTTCTTTAACCTGCTACCCTTCTACTTGCAAATCTCACTATGCAGAGGATGATATGTGTCGGCGCTGGCACGCAGATATGCAAGGACGTGGGTAGATCGTTGTTCTCACTTCCATGGTTAGAAGATCAGAGGTGACGCTTCGCCCTGCATGCAGTATTTTTTGTTTATCCAAGTAAGATGCCCACGGCTTCATTCTTTATCCGATCTAGTCTCTTTGTCTATATACAGATAATAGTCAGAATCGCCAGAGCATAATCAGCCTCAGGGAGGTCTAGTCCCTGGTATAGTGTAATGAGGTGATGTCGCTCAGTTGTGTGATTCGTAAACCTCTGCCATTGACGCATCGGGCATATAGGGCACACATCTCATAAACCAACCGATGAAAGACGTGGTCAACAACATACTGTGGCCTTCACTTCTCAGGACTATTCTGGTAGCCATTTTAAGCTAGGTCGACTTGTGAGCCATAGGTCAATGATAAATCCATTTGGATGAAAGAAGAAAATTCATCATCATCATCAGGCGCCTTGCCAACTGGCGTAGGCGATCATGCCTCTCCACAATCTGCGATCTCCTGCAGCATGTATTAGTTTGTGTGCCGACACATCTCCATGTCATGCAACAAGCCTGTCAAGCATCTTCTCTCATTGTTTTCCTCTATCCATCCTTCCACAGATCTTTCCAGTGGTCACAACATGTTCTATTTTCCCTCTTCTCATAACATGGCCCAAAAATGATGACTGTCTCCTTCTGATGTATGTGATAAGTTGTCTTCGGGCTCCCGCCTCTTTCAAAACCTCTTAGTTGCTCTTTTTGGCCGTCCAGAGTATTCTAAGCATTCTTCTGTAAAACCACATATCTGAGGCCTTTAGAAATTGTTTGGCCTGCCTACCGATTGTCCAGGATTCACAGCCATATGTTAAAACTGGATGTATGTAGCAAGGAAGAATTCTATTTCTAACTCTCAATGACAAGGATATATTGCACAAGATGTTTTTCATTTTATAAAATGCAGTTTTTGCCTGTCCTATTCTGTTTCTTATCTCAGTTATGCATCTTCCAGCTGATGTTATCCATGTGCCCAGATACTTTAATTGCTGTACTTGTCCTAAAATAACACCATCGACTTTCATTACACATGAAGAAATGATTCGTTTCTTTGATACCACCATTACTTCTGTCTTCCCATTATTCAAACTGAGGCCCATTGTTCCATATTCTAACACCACAATGTCTATCATTTCCTGTAGTTCTTTCTGACTTGTTGCTATCAAGACTGTGTCATCAGCATAACGTCAGTTGTTTATATTGTGCCCACCAACCACAATTCCGGGCATGTCAATTAAAGATCTCATTATATATTCACTGTATATTGAAAACAAACCAGGTGACAGTACACATCCTTGTCGTACGCTCCTCTTTATGCTTTGAAATGTACCTAAACAGTTAGTAATTTCTTCTTCTTCTTCACGTTCACCAGCTGTAAACTCTGGCGGAAGGTTCTGGTTGCTCGTCCACTACTGAACTGCAGTCCTGCTCCAGAACCTGAGTGTTGCGTGTGCATCAGTTTTACAGATCTCATTCTCTTGAATACAGACTGTTGGTTCCTTGCCTCTCCGGCAGATGCACTCCGACTTCAAAGGAAGCTTCCCAATTAGTCGACTCTTACGACATGCTTTTGGGGAGGCAGTGGGTCTATTCTTGTTTTCCCCACAATGGGGCTCCGGAACCCACACGGGGGAGTTGGTAATTATTATAGCTGCTATTTGCTGCCAATACATATTCTGGCTCTCTTTTGAATAACGGTCCCAAATTATCTACGCAGAAAGTTAACCCAAACAGAGCCTCACTCATATCTAAAATTCGCATTTCTTTTGCGGCGATTCAACCGCGTCAAAAGTAGGATTAATTGCGCACGACATTTTCGCGAAACGCAAAGGACTTTTTTACGGCGATTACACGGCGGCAAAACAAGGATTAACTACAGACGAAAAAAAAATTAGCGACACGCGAGAATACTCCCGACAGCGCTATCCTACGGCAGGGCCAGTTATATGTAAGTTGCGGACCACTTTTCGCCGACTATAGTGCCACCTCCAAGAGTATCCCCCGCGCCGCTACGTACGGCGCGGAAGGGGCTAAACTAGATGGCTGGGACTCACGAGCAGCAGCTACCGCTTCTCCTGCAGCTTCCTCCATTGTATTTGCTCGTATATCCTAGCCATCTAGTTTAGCCCCTCGGAGGTGGCACTATAGTCGCAGAAAAACAGTCATGAGCAACTTCTTCCGTCGCAACTGCCAGCGTTGTCGCATTCGCCACGGTCAAGGGTTGGTCGGGATAGTGGAGCACCATAGTGGCGGCTGCTGGTTTGAAGTTGTACCGAGGGGACATGTGCGCACATTAAAACGCGCATTATTGATTATGTCTCGCCCGGAACTAGAATCGCGGACAAGCCGCGCCCTGTTGAAATGGCGAAACAGCGCGAAAGAACAGATATTCGGGCACTATTTGCAACTTCTGTGCCACAATTTTCACGTATAAAGGATTTTAATATCGGTAAGTAGTAGAATTCCCCCACTTTCTTCATACTTTTCGTTTCTTATATTTCCCAAAATACAGCTTTTAAATGTTTGTAGGCCAGGACGTAATGAGGCTCTGTTAGGGTTAACTTTCTGCGAAGATCATTTGGGACGTTATTTAAAAGAGAGCCCATATTCTTTATTATTCGTTGATCTTTCCCATCAATGTTTAATTTTTCTAACAATTTGATTACTTCTTCATGCTTCACACAGTCAAATGCTTTTGTATAGTCTATGAAGCACAAGTAGAAATCAGTAGTAGAACATTATATGTGTTGTATCACTAAACATGTAATCGTCCTCTTAATTTCGTTTTCACTGGTTGTAAACTCCGAAAGAAAAGTTATGGTTGTTGATCCACTTCTAGGTTTAGGTCTTCTACATGGACCTGATTTTGGGTCCACTTCCGTTTTACAATTCTGGCTTATTTTGTGCAGACTTTTGGTTCCTTGCCGCTCGTGCATATGCGCTCCGACTTCAAAGGAAACAGCCCTGATTTGCTAAGGAATCTTTATCACAACATGACAGTACTCGATATATGATACTAGCTTCACATTTACATACCAAACTTCACTGTTGAATTTAGTCCAGAACTGACACCACAGGACTAGGGATATTTCCATAAGCGCTATGTCCTAGACTTCCGCAGCAAGTGAAGAGGTTCCAACTCCAAATATGCCAGAGGTAGTTTGATTACGTATTCTACCTGCCTTGGACAGAAAGGTACAGATATCACGCCATAGCTGTAAACCACACCACAATGTACCAACCATCCATTTAATGGCGAACACAGTATGAGTGTCTGAGCAATATTAGTAACCTCTTTAAGGGTCTTGCGAAATTATAAAGGTCTATGAAAGCTTATAATCCCACTATAAATGTATCGATCACTATACCTGTATCGATCACTATACCTGTATCGATCACTATATCTGTATTGATCACTATATCTGTATCGATCACTATACCTGTATCGATCACTATATCTTATCGATCACTATAACTGTGTCGACCACTATAACTGTGTCGACCACTATAACTGTGTCGACCACTATAACTGTGTCGATCACTATACCTGTGTCGATCACTATACCTGTGTCGATCACTATACCTGTGTCGATCACTATACCTGTGTCGATCACTATACCTGTGTCGGTCACTATACCTGTATCGGTCACTATACCTGTATCGATCACTATACCTGTATCGATCACTATACCTGTATCGGTCACTATACCTGTATCAGTCACTATACCTGTATCGATCACTATATCTGTATCGATCACTATAACTGTATCGATCACTATAACTGTATCGATCACTATAACTGTATCGATCACTAAATCTGTATCGATCACTAAATCTGTATCGATCACTAAATCTGTATCGATCACTAAATCTGTATCGATCACTACATCTGTATCGATTACTATATCTGTATTGATTTACATCAAAATTTTGATAAGGAATTTATTTCTCTTGCTGAATATTTAACTTTTTTTAGAGTAGTGCATTCGGTATTTTAAAGTATTATAATCGTACTAATGTGCGTCGGCGTCTGTGGCTGAGGCGTTGCGAACGCTCTTTGTAATTAATGCCGGCGTGTCGGGTTCGATCCCATCTGACGGCTATTTGGCAGCAGAACATCTTGCGCTGGTTTCGACAGTGATACCGAGAGCTGACCGCCCAGTAAACAAGGGCAAACTACTGAAGTAAAGTTTGCCTAGAAATACCACAACAGCCAAAACGATGCTGGAGTTGGTTCAGCACTGCTCCCTAAAGGATAGGCAACTAACATTTAACTTATGTGCTTCAGACTATGACTGTTGAAGAACAACACTTGGAGAAGCTGATATATACAATGGACTTGCTGCATGATAAGATGCTCAACTTGGGGAGTTCTCTGGAGGAACTTGAAGGTAACGATGGAGATATAACACGTGTGGCATGGCTGGCTGGTTGTTTGCTTGGTTAGTTTGTTGCATGGGTGACTGGCTTGCTGGTTGTTTGCCTGGTTAGTTTGTTGCATGGGTGATTGGCTTGCTGGTTGTTTGCTTGGTTAGTTTGTTGCATGGGTGATTGGCTTGCTGGTTGTTTGCCTGGTTAGCTTGTTGCATGGGTGATTGGCTTGCTGGTTGTTTGCTTGGTTGGTTTGTTGCATGGGTGATTGGCTTGCTGGTTGTTTGCTTGGTTAGCTTGTTGCATGGGTGATTGGCTTGCTGGTTGTTTGCTTGGTTAGCTTGTTGCATGGGTGATTGGCTTGCTGGTTGTTTGCTTGGTTAGTTTGTTGCATGGGTGATTGGCTTGCTGGTTGTTTGCTTGGTTAGCTTGTTGCATGGGTGATTGGCTTGCTGGTTGTTTGCCTGGTTAGTTTGTTGCATGGGTGATTGGCTTGCTGGTTGTTTGCCTGGTTAGTTTGTTGCATGGGTGATTGGCTTGCTGGTTGTTTGCTTGGTTAGTTTGTTGCATGGGTGATTGGCTTGCTGGTTGTTTGCTTGGTTAGTTTGTTGCATGGGTGATTGGCTTGCTGGTTGTTTGTTTGGTTAGCTTGTTGCATGGGTGATTGGCTTGCTGGTTGTTTGTTTGGTTAGTTTGTTGCATGGGTGATTGGCTTGCTGGTTGTTTGTTTGGTTAGTTTGTTGCATGGGTGATTGGCTTGCTGGTTGTTTGTTTGGTTAGTTTGTTGCATGGGTGATTGGCTTGCTGGTTGTTTGTTTGGTTAGCTTGTTGCATGGGTGATTGGCTTGCTGGTTGTTTGCTTGGTTAGCTTGTTGCATGGGTGATTGGCTTGCTGGTTGTTTGCTTGGTTAGTTTGTTGCATGGGTGATTGGCTTGCTGGTTGTTTGCTTGGTTAGCTTGTTGCATGGGTGATTGGCTTGCTGGTTGTTTGCCTGGTTAGTTTGTTGCATGGGTGATTGGCTTGCTGGTTGTTTGTTTGGTTGGTTTGTTGCATAGGTGGCTGGCTGGTTGGGTGTATGATTAATTAACACTAAATAGTGTGGTTAACATGTTATCGCAAGATTACTCATGCAGATTAGTGACATGTGGAGGGGAAGCGAGACGGACAGGCAGACAGACGGACAGGCAGACAGACGGGCAGACAGACAGACGGGCAGACAGACAGACGGGCAGACAGACAGACAGACAGACGGGCAGACAGACAGACGGGCAGAGAGACAGACAGACGGACAGATAGACGGGCAGACAGACAGACGGGCAGACAGACAGACAGACAGACAGGCAGAGAGACAGACAGGCAGACAGACGGACAGACAGGCAGACAGACGGACAGGCAGACAGACGGACAGGCAGACGGGCAGACAGACAGACGGGCAGACAGACAGACGGGCAGACAGACAGAGATTTTATTGTAGTACAACAGTCGCCGCCTTTCACTGAAAGACCATGCAAAGAGATAAAATGATACATTTACTGACACCAAGAAGAGAACTAGAAACTGAAAAGAATAATTTGGGCGAGCGTGCTTTTTTTTATCCCCACCTGGCTCCTACCTGAAACTCTGACATCCCACGATTAAACAATTCCAACCTGGATGGCAGACCAAAAGGGCAAATCCCAGACACCGTGTTCAACCACACATAAAGTTATAACTGGGGCACTCGTAATGGTTCCACTGGGCTGGTGGGTCCTACCGTAGATACGGGTTAAGGATTTTGAGCGTAATTCTGGGATGAATTAGGGAGAGCTGCAGGGTTCGGCTAAGGACAGGACAGTGACGTGAGATGGTTGACGGCATATGCTCCAATTGAGGATTCTTCTTTATCTTCTTCTTGTGTTCGCTTTCTGATTTACACCGACAGACAGATTCTTGTGATAATAAACTTGACTGTTTTTTATGAGCTCTTTTTTTAGTTCCATACAACTTTGCGTGCAGTGTTGACTTACTGGACCTGTATTCCATTCTTGTAGTGTGCAGTGTATCCTTGGGAAAAGTTTAAGTGATCTCGTATAGCTTTAGTCTGTCTTTGTACAGAATAATGCTGTCCAGATCACTTTAAATATTCAAAAATAAATCAATTGTCTCAGTTTTCCCCACCAGAAAAATCAGTGTGTAGATGAACATTTTAAGTATAGGTGTTTTTCCTGTATGGGTTTCCTAGGCCCTTTTGTGAGGGAAACAGTATTAGACCCACTGCCTCCCCAACAAGCATGTCGTAAGAGTCGACTAATTGGGAGCTTCCTTCGAAACTCAGAGTGTATCTGCCTGAGAGGCAAGGAACCAACAGTTTGTAAAGAAAAATTAGATTTGTAAAACGGATGTGCATGCAACTCTGAGGTTCTGGAGCAAGACCAAAGTCCAGAGGTGGACGAACAACTAAAACTTTCCGCTGGAGTTTACAACCTGCGAACATGAAGAAGAAGAATAAAAAGGTAGAAACACGAAAACCCCGTTAAACAGTACAACATTTAGCACAGTTACAAAACAGTAACCAAGTAACCAACAGTGTGGTGTGAACGGGTGTGTCATATGTGGATCACCAACATGTTGTTCTACTGTCATACGCTTATTGCATTGCGTCACATATTCACTAGGATACACTGTTTCACATTCATAATGACAAAAATGTTACCTACCTGACACTTGTATTCTCATATGCATGTTGTGTCATAAGATAAATTGGCTTTTCTTTCACACTCGCATCTCTGTTCATACTCCACAGCAAAGAGAGTCAAACTGTTAGCCGGTAAGGCTAGAGAGACGTTCCCACAGATTGCCTCTCCCTCCTACACGCCAAAGAATAAAAAAGGCAAAAAAGGAAAGGTATTTACAAATAAAAATCACTCGGGCCAAATTAGTTACTTAAAGCGATGCAGTAACGTGTAATTCTTTTCTTCAATACACAAAACAAAATAATAATACACTCACCAACAAGGTCAGTTCGTGGCCTGTAACTTGGGTCACCCAAAGTGAGACTTTGCATAAAAAACATCCGGTGACCTTCAACGTTATGTTTATCTCTACTGAACCCACAGACCCTTACCGTGACCCTTGCCAAAAGTTGTATAGACATTTCTCACTTTAATTTCAGTCCGTATAGACCGATGTTTGACAGTGGGGCCAGAATCTAGGTCACTCGAGCCACACCAAACATATTTTGTTGTTTGTTTGTTTGTTTTAGTATCCAGAAGCCATAAGTTGTTAACCCTTAGGCTCGGTATTATGGATATTGCAACCTTTCAGCCTTGATTCCATTGTAAATACCGTAAACCTGGGAGAAAATATTTTAACTGGAGGTTACCTCTGCCTTTAGTTTATGGTTTAGTCGACGTATTAACATCATTTATGTAACCCATAAGGGCTCCGTTCTACTTCAAATTGAAGAACAGTGCACGAACTCCGTTGTACCGGCAAGGATCCTGAAATAAGGGTAGATTTTTAACTCTCCATTTTGCCCAGACAGCGCCATTAGGCTACTCTTCTTCAATTTCCAACTGCCAAAGTATTTTTTACGTGCGCAACAACAAACAGGCGTCCGATCTTACCACCCAGAGACCAGGGATATTACTAAGAGTCCACGTGAAAAATTCCCAGCCTTCAACGGTGTTTGAATCTTGTACTCAGAAGAAGAAGAAGAAGAAGAAGAAGAAGAAGAAGAAGAAGAAGAAGAAGAAGAAGAAGAAGAAGAAGAAGAAGAAGAAGAAGAAGAAGAAGAAGAAGAAGAAGAAGAAGAAGAAGAAGAAGAAGAAGAAGAAGAAGAAGAAGAAGAAAAAGAAGAAGAAGAAGAAGAAGAAGAAAAAGAAGAAGAAGAAGAAGAAGAAGGAGGAGGAGGAGGAGGAGAAGGAACTGACTGGTGGCAGTCTAAACACATAGCTAAACCATTTCATTTGCTGTAATGTAGTACCATCGTCTTGAGGTTTTGAAGTTTTGAACAACGGATCAATATCATGGCACATGGGTAGTAACCCACCAGTGCTCCGCTCTTCTTCTAACTCAAGTCTAAGTCCGAAGAAGCTCAGCACAATGCACAGGCTCTGTAGCGTCGGCGAGGATCATGAAATACTTTGGGTAGATTTTTAACTCAAAATTTTGCCCTGGCAGCGCCGTTAGGCTAATATTTTCGATTTTTAACTGCCAAGGGATTTTTTTTACATGCGCAACAATGCACACGGGCGTGCGATCTCACTACCCAGAGACAAGGAGGAATTGCTAGAAGTCCAAGTCCACGTGAACAAATCCTAGCCCTTACCGGGGATTGAACTCGGAACCTCTAGCATTCGAGGCTGAACATGCATAGAGACCACGCAGCCCCCTACCATTATCTTAAAAGTGCCTGTATACATGAGTTCTTCGGAAACCAACCATTTAATTCTACACTAGTGTACTGCCAACGTAATTTTGTTGTTTAGTGACTTTCTGTAACTCTCTTGCATTCCAGAAGAAAGACAAACAGGCAGCACAGCTCAAATCTCGTGAGATCACAGACGCTGTCATTGTTGACAGACTCTATGGGAAAATGTTGAATGAAGTAAGAACTAAATGAAGTATGTCTTAGGCGTTGCAATTTAAACTGTGTGGGTTTCAGCCTTCGACAAATCAGTTTGGTTATAACTGTTGCGAGCATCGCGGAGTTTTAGACCTCATCTGGAGGACAGGGAGGGAGAGACATTAACAGCAAACCTTACAAGCATGTCGTAAAAGACGACTAATCAAGGATTTGTTGAAATCGGATGTGTTGGGGCGAAAAGCGCAGATGTCGCAGCCTGGTTGTAAACCATATCGCAAAGCTCTAACTAGCTTTTAAGGGCGAACACAGGAGAACATCCGCCCATTGGCTGGCCGGTAGACAACTTTGTCCTGGCAGGAATAGTATTTGGGTCTGTCTTCCTTGATCGCATTAAGACTGCACGAATTCTTTTCAGGACTACTTGGTGGCGAGCAGTGCTGAGCCATTTTATATGGCGCACATAACCTAGTCCCAATTATAACCTTAAGCTCCGCCTTCGGGGATGCTGATTCAACGTGACGATTTCTTTTAAGCAAAGCAACAGGGCGGAACAGAAGAAGAAATTAGCTGTACCTTTTATTTTCCCTCGTTTTTTGTTATACGCTAACACAGATTTTAAAGTAGCTATGTTCCTCTTGTTCCTCGCGATGATGTAATTTTGTTTAAAGCCGAACTGTTTAACTAAACTTTCTGATATACAATACAGTGGACGTCCAATATACGTCAATAATCGCTCCTGAGAGGACGAATATTAAAATGGACGATGATCAAACGAATTCTCCCCAACAGAAATTAACTAAAAAAATTGTTAATCACTTCCCAGCCCGGAACTTTGCCTGTCTATTCTTCAGTCACACAAAACTTGATAATCGATCTCTATTCTTCAGACATACTTCTTCTTCTTTTTTCGTTAGCTTGAAATAGATTATCTATATCTGCAATGTTGTCTCTAGTAATAATTTCACTGTCTTTTGTAATTCACTCAGCGACCCGTAAAGTTTGACTTGCACCGGTGTTTATCGTGGACACAAGTTTTGCCTTGATATGTTATATTTGGGACAGTCTTGGAGGACGTGATCTGTTGTCTCAGGTACCAATCAATATGTACACATGGCTGATTCGCCAAATTTTTAATTGTGTGTACATGGGGCTGCGAAGTCGATTGTGTCCTGTTCTAAGGCGTAGAATAATTTCAGACATACAAAACTTGATATTCGATCTCTATTCATCAGACATTTAAAAAAAATAAAAAAGAAAAAAAAAAACTTGATATGAGATCTCGAAAGTCATTCAAAAACATGGTAATTAAACATAAACTACGTAACTGATTATTTTTTTATCATTATGACCGAGATTTTCTGGTCCTCGGGTCGTAAATATAGTGTAGACCTTCGTGAATTTATTAGTACAGTTCTATGTGAATTGTTCTAAGGTTTTTTTCCACGTGTGTCATATCCAACGCCACCGTCATTTTCTTCGCCTTTTGATCTACTAGAAGACAATAATTGTATGACCCAAAAATGTTAGCAACTGCACGACAGGGTGGTTACTGGGAAATGCTACGAAAAATACTATTCCCGTCACATCACCCATCTAGTGTTTTTAGCAATTGTCCTACTTGGTGAGCACTAGGGAATATTGAGGAAAATACTATACTGGCCACATCACCAATTTAGCGCGTTAGCAATTGTCCTACTGGGTGGGTACTTGGGAATATCAAGGGAAAAAAGATACTGGCCTCATCACCAATGTAGTGTGTTCACAATTGTCCTACTGGGTGAGCACTGGGGAATATTGAGGAAAATACTCTACTGGTCACATCACCCATCTAGTGTGTTAGCAATTGTCCTACTGGGTGAGCACTGGGGAATATTGAGGAAAATACTCTACTGGTCACATCACCCATCTAGTGTGTTAGCAATTGTCCTGCTGGGTGAGTACTGGGGAATATAGAGGAAAATACTATACTAGTCACATTACCAATCTGGTGTGTTAGCAATTGTCTTAATAGGTGAGTACTGGGGAATATCGAGAAAAATAAAGATACTGGCCACATAACTAATCTTGCGTGTTAGCAATTGTCCTACTGTGTGAGTAATGGGGAATATTGAGGAAAATAAAGAGTTACACTACTGCAATTAGCTGACCTATTACTGGTCAATAGAAATCTGCTCCGCTTGGTGGTGAACCGATGTATGCCAAGCTGGATGTTGTGAGGGCTGTTTGGGAGCGAGTGAACAGTGCGGAGACACAGACAGATCATTACGGTCTGGGGAGAATGGCGCTGCGAGGAGTTACGAGCTGATCTAACCGGCGCTCAACACTCAAGAGAAAGGCGAGACGGATATACAACCAAGACAGTCCTGGTACCATCGGAATTGGGAACTCTTCGCGTGCTGCTGAAGATTTGAACGGAGCGTTTACGGGGTTGTCCCGAGTTCTGTAATGTCGATTCAACATTCAACATTGTTTAGTCAATAGAAAAAGACATGACGTTACGGAGTTAGCCTCGTATCTCATCGTTGGAAATTTCATGTTAGCCGTGACGACAAAATGTTCGCTTTCCTCCGAAGAATCGTGACAGTGTGAGTGAGTGAGCATTCGAGCATGTGTTTATTCTGTTCATAAGAATGACTGTTTGTCATCTTAAAAAAAAAAAAAAAGGCTCTGAAATTCACGCGGGAAACAGGGGCACCGAAACGTAATGGCTCCCGCACCTCGACCACTCCGTCCCGCCCCAAAAATATTTAAGGGTGAACAGAGTCCCTCCAGCCAGTAATTTGCAAGGAAGTTAATGATTAGCCCCCTTTTATCCCCCCCCCCCCCAACCCATCCACTCATGTATAAAAATTAAATTATCTTTTCAGGTATTTGTTTATGTGCTTAATATATTTCTGAACATATTGTTATATTTGTTTCTCATTCAGCAGTATTAAAATAAAACATTTTCTTGCACACGTAAACAAGTCATAGGCCACATGAATTTCCACTCCCCAGAAAATGTACACACCTAGGCCTAATATTACCTTTGTGTGACGCTCCTGTTTTATTTCCCTATTCCATAGGTGTGTCCACCTGTATGTGTTGAAAAGTGAAGTAATGCTTGTCTGCACGTTTGCTCATGTAAATTTCTCTTATTGAACCCTAGTGGTATCTATTTGTGTAAATTGAACAGTGAAGGAATGCTCAAATGCACGTTTGCTCATGTTGAACCCTAGCTGTGTCTGTACAAGTCGAACACTGAAGGAAAGCTTGTATGCTCGTTTGCTTATGTACATCTTTGTTCATGTTGAATCCTAGCTGTGTCTGTACATGTTGAACAGTGCAGGAAAGCTTGTCTGCTCGTTCGCTTATGTACATCTTTGTTCATGTTGAACCCTAGCTGTGTCTGTACATGTTGAACAGTGCAGGAAAGCTTGTCTGCTCGTTTGCTTGTGTACATCTTTGTTCATGTTGAATCCTAGCTGTGTCTGTACATGTTGAACAGTGCAGGAAAGCTTGTCTGCTCGTTTGTTTATGTACATCTCTGCTCATGTTGAATCCTAGCTGTGTCTGTACATGTTGAACAGTGCAGGAAAGCGTGTCTGCTCGTTTGCTTGTGTACATCTTTGCTCATGTTGAATCCTAGCTGTGTCTGTACATGTTGAACAGTGCAGGAAAGCTTGTCTGCTCGTTTTCTTGTGTACATCTTTGTTCATGTTGAACCCTAGCTGTGTCTGTACATGTTGAACAGTGCAGGAAAGCTTGTCTGCTCGTTTGCTTGTGTACATCTTTGCTCATGTTGAATCCTAGCTGTGTCTGTACATGTTGAACAGTGCAGGAAAGCTTGTCTGCTCGTTTGTTTATGTACATCTCTGCTCATGTTGAATCCTAGCTATGTGTGTACATGTTGAACAGTGCAGGAAAGCTTGTCTGCTCGTTTGCTTATGTACATCTTTGCTCATGTTGAATCCTAGCTATGTCTGTACATGTTGAACAGTGCAGGAAAGCTTGTCTGCTCGTTCGCTGTCTCTATCTGTGTATGCTGAGTCGTGAAGAAATGCTTGTCAGCTCATGCATATCTCTCTTCTGGAACCCTAGCTGTGTCTATCTGTGTCTGCTGAGTCGTGAAGAAATGCTTGTCAGCTCATGCATATCTCTCTTCTGGAACCCTAGCTGTGCCGAGAGCCAGACGTGAAGTTTCTGGAGTGTGAAATAGAAATCTTACAGGACAAGATCAGGGGAGTGCAGAGACGGGTAGAGGACATTGCACGTGAGTTTATAGTTCATATTCTGCCGACCGATGTTTCAGAAAATACAGCAGATAATTTTAATAATAATAATCGGTATGATCAACAATATTCTCCCCCACGGTACACACTAGCTCGCTTCTGAGTGGTCGGCCTCCAGTCACCCGACCTTCGCACAGTGCTGGGGGGGGGGGGGGGGGGGGGGGGGTGTTCGGCAATCCGTTCATATCGTGTGTTGTATATTTAAGCACGCCACTGCTTTCAACACTACAAAAACATTTACAAACTGAGTCTAACCCACAACGCCCCTAGAGAGTGCTGCAACCTATGTCACGGGTATTCTATTTTTTGAAGAAAAACGTAAATGCAAGACAAGCCAGACCCCCCGAAAAGCAGACGAGTCTAAAAAAATCTCTCAATGGAACGCGACTTAATTTGGCTGAGGAGATTATCGTGGATCTCACTAATAATCATAGTAATAATCATAATGATAATAATAACAACAACAATAACAATAAAGGGTCTTTTTTCCACGCCTTTAGGCGTATTTGGGGATATAAGGCTAGATGTATACTTTGCAGACCAAACAGTATTTGGTAAGATGTAGTAAGCATCAAGCCGACCGCCTTTAATTAACAGGACTGCATTTGGCTCCCCCTCAAAGCTGGATGGACCTAGGAGTCAAGTTCATTTTTTCAAAAAACCGGACCCGAACCAACGACCTTCGATTCTGCAGGCGAGCGTCCAGCCACTACACCACAGCGACATCCGTTAATAAAAAAAAATTATAATTCCCACCACCACAACCATCATCACCAGTTTCTTCTTCTTCTTCTTCTTCTTCTTCTTCTTCTTCATCATCATCATCTTCTTCTTCTTCTTCTTCTTGTTTATTTGTTTATCGGCGTGTGTCCTTAAAAGGGCGATTGACATACAGCGACGTGGTTTACAGCTAGGATGTGATATATGGCTTTCATCTCAACATATACGATTTCAATATATCCATAATTAGTCGCCTATTGCAGCATGCATGCTAAGGAGTAGCTGGGGGGAAAAGAAGGCTTTTAAAAACTCACACAGAGAAGACAGAAATACGACTTATTTTACTGAGCACTCAGAGTTGTATGGAACTAAAAGGGAACTCTTAAAAACTGTCAAGTTTATCACAAGAAATTGTCTGTCGGCGTAGATCAGAAAGTGAACACAAAAATAAGAAGAAGAAGAAGAAGAAGAAGAAGAAGAAGAAGAAGAAGAAGAAGAAGAAGAAGAAGAAGAAGAAGAAGAAGAAGAAGAAGAAGAAGAAGAAGAAGAAAAAGAAGAAGAAGAAGAAGAAGAAGAAGAAGAAGATTTTAAAGAGCCCTAGGACCTTTGAACAAAGCACTGTCATCTTTGAGATGTGGTTAAGCCGTTTGCATCGCGCATTCAATGTCGTAGGTTTAGCTCCAACGTCTGTCCTTCGATTGGCGAGTGCATGTATCACTAATGTTACCAAAGCAATAAAGGAATCAACAAAACCGTACACTAAAACTTAACAAAAATATTGTACACAGCATCTAAGGATGGTTGGCGAGAGACTGACTACCTCACCTTGTCAACGAAAAGCCGTTTTTTCTAATCAGTCGTTGACAAATCGACACATTCCTTTATGCTATTCATTGAATGCAGTGGTTCCTTTGAAAGGTGAACAAGAGTTCTTAAATGCCCAGTGTAAGCTGAATATACATTGACCCTGAAATAAAAATAACAAAAAAGAAAAAATACTATGGCTGTCATAGTAAAAAAAATACTAGTAGTTTTTACCCCATCTCTGAAAAACTGACGCCTACAATTACAGGCTGTCACGCATCATTATAAAATTTGTAAAGAATAACAAATAGCGGCATTATTAAGTAGTAAGTACTTAAGTTCTAAATATTAGGTACTTTTGGCCTCCACGTTAAAGTTGTCTAGATCCTTCCCTGTTGACAACCCGATCGACGACTGACTTAAATTCGCTCACAGCTCATATCAACATCGACACTCACACACTTCACATGGTTTTTGACCAAGCACTTACTGAGGAGGATTGAGAATAAATTGGAATATGAACTACAAGAAACACAATCGGGTTTTAGACGTGGCAGGGAAACAAAGACCATATTTTCAATATGAGAATTATCCTAGAGAAGTGTAGAGAATACAAGATAGATCTTCATGCTTGTTTCATAGACTACAACAAGGTATTTTATTGTGTGCTGCACCATAAAATATGGCATATAATGAGAGGCATGGGATTTCCAAATCATCTGGTGCACCTAATGGAATCTATTTACCACGAACAACAAGCAGCGGTCAGAGTAGCTGGTGAAACATCAGAATGGTTTGAAGTACAGAAAGGAGTGAGACAGGGCTGCATTCTTTCACCCTCCCACTTTAACATATATGCTGAAAATGTTATGAGAAACGCAATTAGCGATGAGACATTGAGAACTTTGATCCACTAAAAATTGGAGGTAATCCGATTACAGAACTCAGATATGCAGACGACACAGTTCTCCTTTCCAACAGTGTACAAGGTTTAGAAAAATTAATTCTGGCTCTTCAAAAAACACAGCGAAGAAGTGATACTGTTTCTGAATTTTAAAAAAAAAAATATGTCCTCAGTACAGCAACCACGTATCGCAATCGAAAATGAAGAAATAGAAAATCAGATTTAAAAAACTTCGGATCTTTAGTGAACAACAGTGGCGACTGCTCAAAAGAAGTCAGAAGAAGACTTGCAATGGCAATGCAGAGATTAAATAACATGAAGAACCTATGGCAAAGCACTAGTAAATTGGTTAAAGTAAAAATCTTGAGATCATGCATTTTTCCTGTGGCAACTTACGGTTGCGAGTCTTGGACTCTCACTCAGTCACCGAGGAAAAAGATTGAAGCTTTTGAAATGAAATGCTTTAAAAAAATTTCTTAGAATACCATGGATCAGGAAGAGGAAAAACATCGACATTCTGAACGAGTTGAACATCAAGGAGAACTGGCTCTTAAACAGCATCCTGTCCCGAAAGTTGAAGTATTTTGACCACATCAAGCGTCATGGTGGCTTGAAAAAGACGGTGATGGAAGGTGCAGTCTGTGGAAGGTGAGGCAGGGGTCGACCACCGCGAAGATGGATACAAGACATTGAAGATGCATTGGCATTGAAAGCCCATAGGGCTGGAGAGCTGGCTAGAGAAAGTAAAACTTTCAGGCGTGCCGTGAAGAGAGCGACGTTCTGTAAAAGACTTGCTGATTGATGATGATGTCAACCTCGTGTTACTACCCAAAAATAAAAAACAATCAAAAAAAAAATTGACAAAGACAGTAAAAAGTAAGTTAAAGTAAAAGACCCTTTTTCACTCCGAATAGTGTTAGATTAATATTTTCATAGACTAATCGATACTCAGTGATGTGTTCTTCGTCATGCCCATCGCCTTTATTTCCCAGAACACTACCTGGACCCATTTTAAACTGGATCGACTGCAGAGCAAGGTCAGTTGAGAAAAATGAAATTTACATTAATGGGGATTCGAACTCAAGATGTTCTGACCGGTGGATCCCCATCACAACAATAGCCAACAAACAAGGACAGTATTTTTCTGTCGATAAGATGCCCGCATGCATACGACGACCCATTTTATTAGGCTAAAATTAGGAAATAAATATTTTAAACACATTCCGTGTTTGAGACAATCACTTTTATTAGCCCCAGATTAGGAAATTAATATTTTAAACACATGTCTTGTATAAGACTCCCCCCCCCCCCCCCAATCCCCCATGTATAAGACGCCAATTTTATTAGCCCAAACTCAGGAGATAAATTTTTTAAACACATTCCGTGTTTGAGATGACCACTTGTATCAACTCAAAAATAGGAAATGAATATTTTAAACACATTCCATGTTAGACGACCCCCCCCCCCCCCCCCCCTCCCCACCCTACTTTTTAGCCCATAATTAGGAAATAAATATTTTAACAAACCCCATTTACAAACCACCCCCAAATTTTAAACTGATCAAAATTAGAGAAACTATGGGGGTGACTGCATTCAAGCTAATACAATGAATTCCAGAGAAATTTGACTAAAAGGCTCAACAAAATCATACTACCCGCCTCGCTTTGGAAAATCGCCTTATCCACAGCCTTGGCGTTCTTAGTCCAAGAGGTATCAATATCCAACATACCTTCATCTAAATAGTTCTAATCTTATCACATTTTAAATGTTAATTTTTTTTTTTATTTCATATTATTACCTTATTCTATTCTATTTCTTATCAGTATCATTTA